TGGGTTGAGGAGGCTGTGACCGTGGCGGTGTAGGTGGAAGCAGCGGTGGAGGAGGAGGAGGTATCCAACACTCTTTTTTATAAATATATTTTTTATTTTAGTGGGGTAGCCCCCAAAATATTGGGACATATAAAAAAAGAAACATTTGCAGCCTGCGCTGCATTTCTTGCAGTCCTGATGCATGGAGAAATGCTCAACTCCTGATGCATGGAGAAAAGGCCTTCACAAGCCTCTGCTATTGTGTACATAGTTTATACTAGGTGACCCATAGGTTGAGGAGGCGGTGACCGTGGCGGTGTAGGTGGAATCAGCGGTGGAGGAGGAGGAGGTAGCCAACACTGTTTTTTATATATATATATTTTTTAATTGGGGTAGCCCCCAAAATATTGGGACATATAAAAAAAAGAAACATTTGCGGCCTGCGGTGCATTTCTTGCAGTTCTGATGCATGGAGAAATGCTCAACTCCTGATGCATGGAGAAAAGGCCTTCACAAGCCTCTGCTATTGTGTACATAGTTTATACTAAGTGACCCATAGGTTGAGGAGGCGGTGACCGTGGCGGTGTAGGTGGAAGCAGCTGTGGAGGAGGTATCCAACACTAGTTTTTCTAAATATATTTTTTATTTTAATTGGGGTAGCCCCCAAAATATTGGGACATATAAAAAAGGAAACATTTGCGGCCTGCAGTGCATTTCTTGCAGTCCTGATGCATGGAGAAATGCTCAACTCCTGATGCATGGAGTAAAGCCCTTCACAAGCCTCTGCTATTGTGTACATAGTTTATACTAGGTGACCCATAGCTTGAGGAGGCGGTGACTGTGGCGGTGTAGGTGGAAGCAGCGGTGGAGGAGGTAGCCAACACTGTTTTTATAAATATATTTTTTATTTTAATTGGTGTAGCCCCCAAAATATTGGGACATATAAAAAAAGAAACATTTGCGGCCTGCGGTGCATTTCTTGCAGTCCTGATGCATGGAGAAATGCTCAACTCCTGATGCATGGAGAAAAGGCCTTCACGAACATCTGCTATTGTGTACATAGTTTATACTAAGTGACCCATAGGTTGAGGAGGTGGTGACCGTGGCGGTGTAGGTGGAAGCAGCGGTGGAGGAGGAGGAGGTAGCCAACACTGTTTTCTATATATATATATATATATATATATATATTTGGAGTAGCCCCCAAAATATTGTGACATATAAAAAAAGAAAACTGTTCCGCAGAGCGACTGACCCATGCGTGCTGCATCTGAAACTCCACTATCTGCTGCTCGCACAGTCTCATGAGGCGGTGAGCGGGAAGGCCGAAGTTACGCTGCAGTGCAGACAGGCGAGCAGCAGCAGGGTGAGAATGCCAAAAGCGCACAGAGGCGGCCTGCACTTTCTGCAGCAGCTCTGATATATCTGGGTATACACCGTGGTATCACAAGGGCCACCCAGAACTGTCTCAACTTCCATCAAGCCTGGAGGAGATCACCCAGCTCGTCATGCTAGAGCACTAGCATGCTCCCCAACGAGAAGGCGACGACGCATTCATATGTCAATCCATATCAACTTTCGATGCCATTGACTGTGCCTACCATGGTGACCACGGGTAACGGGGAATCAGGGTTCGATTCCGTACAGGGACCCTGACAAACGGCTACCACATGCAAGGAAGGCACCAGACGTGCAAATGACCCACTCCCAACACGGGAAGGTAGTGACGACAAATAACAATACAGGACTCTTTAGAGGCCCTGTAATTGTAATGAGTCCACTTGAAATCCTTTAACTCTGATCAATTGGAGGGCAAGTCTGGTGCAGAGCCACTGACCTGTGCGTGCTGCAGCTGAAACTCCACTATCACCTGCTGCTGCTCAAACAGTCTCTCCAGCATGTGCAAGGTGGAGTTCCACCTTGTGGGCATGTCGCATATGAGGCAGTGAGCGGGAAGGCCAAAGTTACGCTGCAGCGCAGATAGGCGAGCAGCAGTAGGGTGAGAACGCCAAAAGCGCGCACAGCCGCTACAGTGAATGTCATATCCTGTTCCAAGTTACGGATCAGTCTGGTGATGGCTTCTGGCATCCAGTACTCTTTTTACTGAAGCTGCATCAGGGTCCTTGTATGTGGCCGCACAAATGCTGGTGCTCAACACCAGGGGGTGTGCAGTTACCCTGCACCAGACCCTGCTAATCCATTCCACACTGTGACTCCTAACTTCTACATCAGGCATACTGGGTCCCAGTTGTCCGACCGCCGCCCAGACAGTGTCTGGGTCCCGGTCACCGGACTGCAAAACTGCGAATGGCTTGTTAAATCTGTTATGGTTCTTTTAATCATTTCAACTGTTACTTGGATAACTGTGGGAATTCTAAAGATAATACATGCCGATGAGCGCTAAGGCACGGCCGCTCCACTTTTGCACCCTGCTCCCTCATTTGCTGTGCGGTGCCTCTGTGCAACCAGCGCCTCTTCCTCCAAACTGCACACATCACTCGCATGACCTTGATTCCATGTGGGGTCTAGGACCTCATCATCCTCCACGTCATCTTCCACCCACTCCTCAACCCTTGCCGGTATGCACACTGCAGTAAGCCACATCAGTTGGCACCTGTGTTTTTCCAGCATGTAAAGTCTGCAAATGACATATGGAGATTGTTTTAAAATTGTATCCAGGCAAAAGTTTCCCCTATAAACTGACCTCTCAGTTTGACTTGTGAGGGTATTGCCCCAGAATTACTATATTGTTGAAGTACCTCTTAGCTATTGATCACTGGTTTAAATATAGCAGCTTGTTATCTGGTAGTTTCTAGTGTAGAAAATATCAATCTGTTTTCTATCACTTAGATCTGTGTAACAAGTGTTGTAGGTGTGAAACAATATTACAAGTCACTGATGTAGTAAATTCAAATCAAAGTTCCATTTGCAAAAAAAATTCTCGCCCATCTTCTGTGGGTTATTGCATTTTTAAGATGTAGACTTATTGTATCACACTAGCCATGCACAGGTAGATTTCTGGCACGTTGTTTTGGTGTTTAACTTTGTAGTTTTGTCTTTACACAATATAGAAATGTATATTAATGCTTCTGTATATGAAGCGATCACAATAACACTTTTTTTTAAACTTTAAAAAAAAAAATCAGGCTAAACAAAAATTGGTAATTCACAATATGACATCTGAAAAGCACATGAAAGGATGCTGTATGATTTTTAAAAAAAGAACACACTACATGAAGGTCCTGTTCACTAGAGTGTGTAGTCATGAATGTAACCAGTAAAACTTTGTTTTTACAGCCACTGGTTGTTCCATACATATTTTAAAACTTGTTTAATTTTGTTATAGCATGATTTGTAGTCTTGTTTTTAACTTGTCTATAATACATATTTTTGTATGACACTTATTGTGTTTTTTCATTGATTATTGAATTTTAATGGTCCAAGATAATTAACTTGTCAACAGGCAAACGTAACCCGAATGATTTGTCTTAGTCTTGCCTTCTATACTACCTGCACCATAGGCAACATTTATTTGTCTTTAGACTTTCTTGAGAAGCAGTAACTAGCCAGTGTTGCACACATACACCAGATATGAAGTGCACACCCCAAATGTACTATTTAGCACCCAGAAAATTAGAATGTTTATAACTGCGCTGTAAGCGCACTATTTGACGCTTCGATTTGACTCTCAGATATGAAGAGCAAGCCCCAAAAAATGTACTATTTAGCAGATTAGCAGCAAAACAATTAGAATGTTTACAACTGCGCTGTAAGCGCACTATTTACGCTTCGATTTGACTCTCAGATATGAAGAGCAGGCCTCAAAATGTACTATTTAGCAGATTAGCATCCAGAAAATAAGAATGTTTACAACTGCGCTGTAAGCGCACTATTAGACGCTTCGATTTGACTCTCAGATATGAAGAGCAGGCCCCAAAATGTACTATTTAGCAGATTAGCAGCAAACAATTAGAATGTTTACAACTGTGCTGTAAGCGCACTATTTACGCTTCGATTTGACTCTCAGATATGAAGAGCAGGCCTCAAAATGTACTATTTAGCAGATTAGCATCCAGAAAATAAGACTGTTTACAACTGCGCTGTAAGCGCACTATTAGACGCTTCGATTTGACTCTCAGATATGAAGAGCAGGCCCCAAAATGTACTATTTAGCAGATTAGCACCCAGAAAATAAGAATCTTTTCAAGTGCGCGGTAAGTGCACAATTGGACACTTCTATTTGACTCTCAGATATAAGGTGCACCCCACTAATGTACTTTTTAGCACCCAAAAAATTTTACGTTTTAAAACTGCAATGTGACAGCAGTATTTAACGCTTCTATTTGACTCTCATATATGAAGTGCACCCCACTAATGTACTTTTTAGCACCCAAAAAATTTACTTTTTAAAACTCCGATGTAACCGCGGTATTTGACGCTTCTATTTGACTCTCAGATATAAAGTGCACCCCACTTATGTACTAGTTTGCAGAATTCTTTCCTAATCTGTCCCTAAAAGCTGCAGCATCCTCTCCCTACACTAATAAGAGCTCATGTGCGTGTGGCACTACGCGACTGCAGCTTATATATAGAGGCTGGGTCACATGCTGCACTGGCCAATCACAGCCATGCCATTAGTAGGCATGACTGTGATGGCTTCTAAGGGCACACGAGTCAAACGCTTGTTGATTGACTGCCCTGCAGCCTTTCAAAACGCGCCATTAAATCGCCGAACACCGAACTCCAACCCGACCATACAGTGATATGTCCGTGTTCGGGTCCGGGCTCCAAAAAACGTAATGTTCGGTACGAATCCGAACTTTACAGTCTGGGTTCGCTCAACTCTAGTCAGCATGTTAAAGCCAAAAGAGGGCCTTAATACCCAAAATCAACATATCACCTCATTGTCTGAACCAGTAGAAAATATGTACTGTCTGCTCTTTTTATCTTTCTCATACATAGAAATGCTTTAGACTTGAGAAAGGGAGGTTCTCCCGAAAGCTTGTCATTACAAAATTCTGTTAGTCCAATAAAAAAGGTATTACAAGAAACGCATTTCATCTGTTATTTTACATCATACCTAAAATCACACAAAGCTACTAGTGGCCTCTAGTGGTAACATTTATGGTTTAAGGAAAGAGAACCATTTTCTTGGCAGTTCTCTTAATCCTATTAACAAAGAGAGGCATCAGTGTATATTTCGATACAGCCTTGAACAGTATTGCAACCAGGAAATAAACTGTTACTGGTGTAGTTATGAGGACAAGCATAAAGTTGATATTCTGTAAAGGTCTAGGATAGGGGCTTAAGAGAGCTCCCACGTCACCTCCCCAAACTAAAAAAGTGGGTCACCTAGACCGGGAAAACAGGGGCTAACCCAAGAAAATACAAATTTAGATAAATATAACCTAGAAAGGTCACACTTATGGAAAGTGACCACTAGGTTTGAATCCCAGTCCACTCTAAATAAGGTCTTAAAAAAATAACAAAAAACTTTATTAATGACTCTTAAAAATACCGAGGTACGTATATAAATGTAGCCTAATGAAAAAATGCAAAATCTAAGAGAAATTCTCAATGGCTACAGTTTGGTGGTTCACAGTACCACACTAATTCAAAAGGATACAAATGTAACAATGTGGGGACTAGACAGAAAAAAGTAATAGCAACCTGAACCTATCTAAATACTGTCATCGCTAATAGAAATAAATGTAAAACTGAGCTAGTATAGTGACAATGGTCCAATAGCAAAAAACAGAAAAACGGTAGAGATATACTAAACAGTGAAATGGAGCAAATGAAATACAAGGAGAAAGGGTAGATAAAGATAAACAGATAGGATATAAAGATTAGAGTTGAACAAAAAGTTCGTTTTCGTACTGAGCATTACGTTTTTTGGACACCGGACCCGAACACGGACACATCACTGCATGTTCAGGTTGGAGTTCGGTGTTCGGCGATTTAATGGCGCGTTTTGAAAGGCTGCAGGGCAGCCAATCAACAAGCGTTTGACTCGTGTGCCTTTAGAAGCCATCACAGCCATGCCTACTAATGGCATGGCTGTGATTGGCCAGTGCAGCATGTGAGCCATAGACATAGTATATATAGACGCTGCATTGACTGCTGAGCGGCGAGAAATACACACAGATACAGAGATATCAACTGCCACACAGGGAAAATGAGAATGGCAGTACTCAGTTAGTGCAGAGCAAGGATAATGAGAATGGTAGTACTCAGTCAGGGCAGGGATAATGGGAATGGCAGTACTCAGTCAGGGGGCCCTAAATAACAATGAGGGGGGCACCCTGTGTGGTGGATGGGGGGCCCTAAATAACAATGAGGGGGGGACCTACTGTCCTCCCCCCGGCCCCCACCCCTGAGCGGTGGGTGGGGGCCCTAAATAAGATTGAGGGGGAGGACCTACTGTCGCCGCGCAGGGGTGGGGGCCCTACATAACAACGAGGGTGGGGACCTACTGTCCTCCCCCCCGTCCCCCACCCCTGAGCGGCGGGTGGGGGCCCTAAATAAGAATGAGGGGGGACCTACTGTCCTCCCCCCGGCCCCCACCCCTGAGTGGGGGATGGGGACCCTAAATAAGAACGAGGGGGGGACCTACTGTCCTCCTCCTGGCCCCCCCCCATGAGCGGCGGGTGGGGGCCTAAATAACAATGAGGGGGGGACCTACTGTCCC